AGTAGAAGTGAATTAGAGAGAGGCTAGCGTTTCGAAAATTTCCAAACACTGTTATCCAAAATCAAAAACAGGAGAGCTGAATTGTGTTAAAAGGATATATCACAGAACTGTTCTCGCACAATAATTTAATATTCTAAATTGATCCAACTTTAAGTGGTTTCTAAGATGAGCATATGAGATTTTGTTGATAAGATTTGAGCAAAACTTCTTTTACCAGGACCTACCAGATGCATTGCTAAAAAAGAACAAATTAAGCAACAGTGTAACGGAAGAGAAAATGGAAATGTTACAAGCCAAGCCTAAGCTAATACCAGAAGGCTGAACTGTTATACAGGCTGCAACTTACTCTTTGGCCCACATTGTGCTATGGAGTGAGAATTTTAGTGCCTTTTTTCCTAATCTCAGCATCAACAGAACTTTAGGCTATTACAGACCCTTTTCACTATACTAATAATAAGCTATGAGCTCTCTCCTCCGATCAATCAATCTTCACCGAGGAGTAGATCTTCCGAACAAACCAGAAGCAAGCATAGAAGCCAATTGTTCCTGTCAACACAAAGAAGGCATATGATGCGATCAACATGTAACCAAAGTACAATATGCCTGAAACCAGTTTGCTGATCTCCAACTTGGTGAAGAAATAGAAAATAGAGTAGAGAAACAAGTATAATGCGGAGGATCCAGCAGTCAGATAAGCTCTCCACCACCAATTATAGTCTTCACTGCACAACTGGAAGTAGCACAGCACAACAGTTATCTCTGCACATGTGATTATCAAGATCACGAAAACAATGAAGAGGAAGCCAAAGATGTAGTAGAACTGGTTCAGCCATATGGACGTCAAGATGAAGAATAGCTCAATGAAAACAGCTCCAAAAGGAAGGATGCCCCCAATAAGTACCGAAAAGGCCGGTTTCATATACCATGCAAGCTCTGGTACTTGCCTGGGGATTTTGTTCGTCTTGACAGGGTCTTCAATGGCTGGTTTTTTGTAACCAAGGTAGCTGCCAACAAATACTAAAGGTACTGAAATCCCAAACCACAAGCACACTAGAGCCAACATAGTGCCAAATGGCAATGCTCCAGAAGAATGCTCTTCCCAGATAAGAGCATTCAGCACAAAGAAGATGGCAAAAAGTATTCCGGGGAACATGAAAGCAGTTTTCAAGGTAATCCTTTTCCACTCTGTTCCTTTGAATATTTTGTAGAAACGAGCAGAAGAATAGCCAGCTAACAAGCCCATGAAAACCCATAGTAGAACCATGGCAGTCATAAGCCCACCACGATTTGAAGGTGATAAGAAACCCAGAAGAGCGAAAATCATTGTCACAAGTGTCATACCAAATATTTGGACACCAGTTCCGACATAAACACACAGTAACCCAGAATTAGTTGGAACACGAAAAACATCCCCATGAACAAGTTTCCATCCTGTTTCTTCCTGAGCCTCATCTTGCGTTTCCAATTGATTATAGTTTGCGATATCTCTGTACAAAGTTCTCATCATGATCATCGCAACCATACCAGAAAGGAATAGGACAATCATAAGGGAATTTATGATGGAAAACCAATGAATCTGATCATTATTCATGAGCAGGTATGTATCCCAACGAGAAGCCCATTTTACATCGCTTCCCTAAGGAAGAACAACAATAGTAACTAAGATATCTGCAGCCAAAGAATAACTGCTTCAAGCCTAACATAGGAAGGACAAAAGTTCAATTAGAGAATACCTCGAAAGAAACATCATAGGTGAATACAACATCCTTATCTGCATCTACTTCTTGGGGAACAGAGCTACCTGGAACCAAATCTTTTGTTTTCTCATTGCACGTTGTCACCTGAGGGTTCTTTTCATCCCACTCCTTGTACTCATGATTAATGCTATCAATAAAATCACATGAGAAAAGAAGAGCAAGGACATAATTCCTCTCCCCAACCCCAGGACATAGAGAGGAAAAGGAAAGAAAAAAGAAAGACACAAGGCCTAGATGTAAAGCATTGAAACCTGTTTGGTGTCACTTCAAATCCAACAATACGAGCAGTATCGGTTTCAGGATCCTTGTGGTACATGACTCGGAAGCTCAAGTGGTTGTTGATGAAATATTTCTCCTCTTTGCTCTATCAGAAAGTGAATGCAAAAACAGTTAGACTAAATTTGTGAGGACTAAGCTATCAGTCTATAGCAATTCCAAGACTGTACAAACCCCAGCATAATTCCCCTTGAATCCAACACGGAAACCATGCTCATAAGTAATTGATTTAATTCCATCCCGCCTTTGTCTAAGAACTGCAACTGGAAGGTTATCCAAAATCCTGCATTATTAGATGAACATTCAACACTGAATTTTAATTCAGACATAAAAGCATGATTTAAAAATAATGCACGGTAGGACTAAACCAAATTCTCATGGGAAAAGAGTAAAACAAAATTTGTCTTCCACATCACCTCTGTGCTTTAATTGATGTGTAAAATTTGAGTCAAAATCATGTTCATGAGGATTAAAGTAAATTTAGGGGACGGGCAGACTAAATTTAATCTTACATATTAACTCTGTATTCATCATCAATCATCTCCTTGAAGTTCTTTGCAGATTCAGCATTGAGCTTTTGCTTACAAATCACTTGGCATGGTTGTTCTTGTCTCATTTGAAACTGTAAAATAATTCACAAGGATAGATTCACTCAGCAAGTTAGCTCATAAGCACATATTAGGGGAAAAAAAACTTTTCTTCTTTTTCCTTCAGCAATTATCAGATTAGACAGAAAAAATTTCCTTACACTATACACTGAATTCTCTATGCGATCACCTCGCAGAACCTCCCCTAAATTCTCTGCACTATTCACAATCTTGGTAGGCCTGCAGTACTTCAAGAAGTAGTAGTCATAGGGAAGTTGTGTTTTTGTAGATGACAGCTTGTTCACTTTGATATTAAGAGGATCACCCTGAAAAAAGTTGAAAAAGAAAGCTGGTGAGAAACAATCAAACATGACAGAGAAACCAGCAGGAAAGGAAGAGGTTCACAACTCTGAAACCCAAAGACGAAGCGAGGAAGGCAGCTTCAGAGAGTTTCCAGAAAATTTTCACAAGGAGCGACAATCAAACAGTAAATAGAAATCCAAAAGATAGATGCTCAAACATAAAAAAAATTGTATCTTTCAACAGATACTCTTTTCTGATTTTTCGATCCCAAACAACCAATCCAAAATGTACCTAATAATCCCATACACAATTTCCATAACATTCTATGCTTAAACCAATTCAAACAGCTTCAGTCTTCGAGTCAATCAAGCTCAACACCCAAAGCAACATGTGCTTAAGAATAAGATCCTCACAGCTTCTTCCTCTCTCAAGAAATGAGAATTCAGAGCTAAACACACACTACATTTCTCTGTTTATTTCATCTAAGCTGGAAAACACAGATTAGGTATCAATCAAATGTATTCACTCATCAAAGCACTTCGATTGCCTGAATGGGATTGGTCTATCAACTAAAATAGATCATTAATCATACCCATTATCCAACGAGGGAAAAAAACAGAACCCCAGATCAAAACAGGACATACTCTCTCTCAAAACCTCGCCAGTCGGTCAAAAATCAACAGATCCAAACCCTTCTCAGTCGCAACAACTCAGACTACTGAAATTACTAAAACCCCAAGATTTCAAAAGGGTCTAAACCATTCAAAAAATGGTTACACTAAATTCACTTTTTTTTTGTAGGAATACAATAAAAAACAAGATTTGAGTGAAGAAAGAGGAACATACAGTTTGAAAATTGCGAGGAGCAACGCCAGGTAGATAAAAGGAGTGAGCAGAAGATAACAAAGAGATGAAGATGACAGTAAGCCACAAAGATCTTCGTCTATCCATCTTCACTTCTCAACTCAATACGCCAAAACACTCAACTCTGAACAATTTTTGGAGCTTTTTTTCTTTTATGCATTTCTAGGCAGGAACCAAATTTTGTTCTCTTTTTTTCTATTTCTTAATGCTACTCTATATACACTCTTTTTACTCTTTTCTAATTTGGATTGAATATGATATGTTACCAAATAATTTAATATTTTTCTAAAAAGATTTTATTTTTAAAAAAGAAAAAAAAATGGGGATAGGGAAAGAGGGTTACTAAAAATTTTCAAAATAAATTTATTTAGACGCCTCCTGTAACTTTTTATTTATACTAAGTTTTAAGTTGACTTTTTACATTTTGTTTAAATGGTTGTTGCGTATATTTACATAATGTATCATATTTTGTTGTATTGATTGTTTAAGGAATACAATGTTTGGATAAATTGTATCGTTCTGTCGATACATAATGTCACACATTCATACTTTGAATGATAAACATACAAGAAAAATCAGGTACGGGGTAAAGCTACTATAGGATAAAAGATGAAATATGATTATTAATAATAAAGAAAGACAAAATGAGTAGAAAATATTGAGGTAACAACGCGATCGTACTAAATCGGTCATTACATAAAATGAGTCTTTTCATTGTTACTTAGAAATGAATTTAAACAATACGATACAATAAAATTTAAGTAACAATCAAAACAAACATTGTATTTAAGCAAACAATACAATACAATAGACCGAGTAAGAACCATCCAAACAAGGTGTTAGTATCAAGAAACAACATTTGGCATTTGCATAATTGAATCTTACAAGATATTGATAACAATTTCTAAACTGAATTTCCAAAACAAGGAAAGGTAGACACTGAATTTGAACACTGCTAAGCTGGCCTAGTAAATCAATCATCTTTAAAAGACAGTAATGAAGCCAATAACTAGTCCAGCTAAAATAGAAATATGCTTATCAATTTGATCTTCTTTATATATATGATGTATCATAATATTGCAATTATTACTATGAATAAATAAATTAACTACTGGATGTAATTAGTAAAGCAATTCTTATTGCCTCACCTTTTCTGAAGAACTAAAAGAACACCATGAATTTTTGACACCATGTGCTCCCATTTTACTGTAGAGTTATTCCTTTTGTTGAATAAATAGTTGAGAACAGTTTGTACAATCAAAACCTTGAGATGTACCATGGAACATGAAATCTAATATCGAAAAAACATGCAAGCAATTCTAATAAAAGGACTATAGAGATAAGAATTTGATCGATAAAACCTTCATTACAGCTTCAACTTCTCCGACACACTAATTAATTTTCAACTCTTTTCTAGACATTGAAATCCCACACTACTGCTCTTAGGCATTACTGTTTGGACTACAACTGTGGAAAGAAAGATGCATGGAATTCTCTCTTTCAACCAAACGCCACTTAAACTCCTCAAAGCCCATTTATATGCCTAAAAGGAGGTGTTTTCATTATCTTTGAAGTCCGTGGTAAAGATTAAATAAGGGATTCAATACATAAATATCTCAAAAGCTAGCCATTTGATCAACTGCAAACTCGTAGCTTCGTGTTAGTTTTTCCATTAACATGACTTGAACATCAGTGACATCGCTTATGTGGAGACACTAAGAACAAGTAAGCAGGTGAGACTTGAACTTGTCCAGTTCATCTAGAACCTCATCTTCTGATCTGTAAATGAGATCAATCATTCGCCATATCTGCAAAAGATTGAACAATGAGATTTAAGAAATGTCAATTGAAGATGCTAACGCACTGTCACATATTACATTTGGGCTTTACATAAAAGAAAATCAACAATAGGATAAGGTGAAGGTCTTTTGCTAACTATGGTGAACTCGTGAAGGGTATTTAGGCGAAGAAAAGATCAAAAATCATAACAATTTCTCACAGAGAAGCAGATGTCTTTCAACTTTATCAGGCTTAAGCCAAAGCCTTGTTGAATTTATTGTGCGCCAATCATCATTTACAATTTAATAAATGCCACATAGAATTCAAATTTTAGTTTTATCAGATACCGAGAATTATAAAATGTATCTGTAAGTCAACCTAGTGTGATGGATAAAAGCAACTAAACAGCATAATAACAAGTTTGGATGTTACCTGTAATGTACCACCTCCACCAGTACTTTCTCCATCATCTGAGACACTAACAATCGTCCATGGATCTGCTACATTCCAGTGGAAGTCGACCACCTTATCCCTATGTTCATCCACAAAGTTAGTACTCCATACATGGAGTATATATGAATGCAGTTGCTCTCTACTTAACTTCAAAGTCATAAATATACGTGGTTTTCTTTTTTAAATATGGACCATATTTATTATTGATGACCCTCTGCACTACACTGTGCCAATGGCTTTAGCATCTACATGGCCTAGAAAATATGCTCTGGAATACAATTGATAACAATGGCTACAGAGGATGTTCATGGAGGGAAGCCTGATCGGAGATGTTTTATGCAGCACGGCATCTATACTACATAAACAAAAATAAAAATTTGACACCATCTTGGTGCAAGGTCAATGAACTGATCTGTTGACAAATACAGCAATAAAAAATTATCACTACAGAGAAAAAAAAAATTCACTGCCGTGGAGTTCACTCTTTTCTTTATTTTGGACTTGCCACCCAACCCCCACTGCCCCACCATTTTCTCTTTTTTTTCCTTTTCTTTTGGGGGCACAGGGTAGGGGCTTTGATAATAGTCAATCAGAAGCATCTCCAAACACATTAAGGGTATAGAAGCAGAAGAGAACTGGAACCATGCAAACAAAATTTAGTGTAAAATAATCGAACAGAAAATGCATACCTATGTCCAGCATGACGAAAGAATAAGCCTGGAGGAGATGTTGGAGCTTTCCTACTAGCACCGTCCTCCCTCTTACCAATCTGGGAGAAAATAATTTTCATTGAAACTACTAACACAACAACAACAACAACATACCCAGTGTAATCCCACTAGGTGGGGTCTGGGGAGGGTAGAGTGTACGCAGACCTTGCCTGCCACTACCTCGTGCGAGGTAGAGAGGCTGTTTCCGGAAGACCCTCAGCTCAGGTACCTCAAATCCAAGTAAAAGGCGAGGAAGACAGTGTATATACAAACCATCCAATACGAAAGATAATATACAATCAACAAAGGAAGACAATGACATCAATAAACAATGAGAAAAGTGAAACGCAATAAACAACAAAAGGCTATCGATCTCACAGACAAGAACTGCAAGTGCAAGACTAGGACTACTACACACGCTAACAACCCCTACCCTTGCAAGGAGAGAACGCTAGCCCTACTAACCTTCAACCTTAATACGAGACCTCCACTCCTTCTTATCTAGAGTCATGTCTTCGGTAATGTGAAGCTGAGCCAAGTCCTGTCTAATCACCTCTCCCCAATACTTCTTAGGCCTACCTCTACCCCTCCGCATACCCTCTACAACCAGCCCCTCACACCTCCTCACTGGGGCGTCTGCGCCCCGTCTCTTCACATGACCAAACCATCTCAGTCTCGCTTCCCTCAACTTGTCCACCACTGAGGCCACTCCCACCTTCTCCCGGATAACTTCATTCCTAATCCTATCACTCCTAGTATGTCCACACATCTATCTCAACATCCTCATCTTCGCAACCTGCATTTTTTGAACATGAGAGTTCTTGACTGGCCAACACTCCGCTCCATACAACAAGGCCGGCCTAACTACCACTCTGTAGAACTTACCTTTAAGTCTAGGTGGAATTTTCTTATCACACAAGACTCCAGAGGCAAGCCTCCATTTCATCCAAGCAACCCCAATGCGATGTGTGACATCCTCATCGATGTCACCACTTCCTTGTATTACAGACCCAAGATACTTAAAACTTTCTTTCTTGGGGATGCTCTGTGTGGCAAGTCTCACTTCTACATCTGCCTCATCTAACGCATCACTGAATTTGCACCCCAAATATTTTGTTTTGGTCCTACTCAACTTAAACCCTTTAGACTCAAGCGTTTGTCTTCCACACCTCCAACCTCGCATTAACTCTGTCCCGCGTCTCATCAATCAGTACTATGTCATCCGCAAATAACATACACCATGGGACCTCCTCCTGAATAGACCGCGTCAACTCATCCATCACCAGAGCAAATAGAAAAAGGCTTAGGACTGATCCTTGGCGCAACCCCATCTCAACTGGGAAATGTTCCGAGTCACCTCCAACCGTTCTAACCCGAGTCTTGGCTCCACCGTACATGTCCTTTATCGCCCTAATATAAATCATCGGGACACCTTTAGCCTCCAAGCACCTCCAGAGGACATTCCTCGGTACTTTGTCATAGGCCTTTTCAAGGTCAATGAACACCATATGTAGGTCTCTCTTCCTTTCTCTATATTTTTCTACCAGTCTTCGCATAAGATGAATGGCTTCGGTCGTCGACCGTCCCGGCATGAATCCAAACTGGTTCTCAGAAATGGACACCCCTCTTCTCACCCTCATCTCCACCACTCTCTCCCAAATCTTCATAGTATGGCTTAGCAATTTGATACCCCTGTAGTTGTTACAGTTCTGGATATCACCCTTGTTTTTATACAACGGAACCATTGTACTCCACCTCCATTCATCAGGCATCTTTGCTGTCTTAAAAATAACATTAAACAACCCAGTCAACCACTCTATACCTGCCTTGTCCGTGCTCTTCCAGAAATCCACCGGAATCTCATCGGGTCCGGTCGCTCTTCCCCTGCTCATCCTACTAATAGCACGTATAACCTCCTCGCTCCTAAAACACCTGCAGTACCCAAAGTCCCGAAGTCTTTCCGAGTGTGCCAAATCACCCAACACAATGTCTCCGCCCCCTTCTTCATTTAGAAGTTTGTGAAAGTATCTTCGCCATCTCTGCTTAATGGAGGTCTCATCCACCAATACTTTGCCTTCCTCATCCTTGACACACTTTACATGAGTTAGCAATCACCAACTCAAAAGCCTTAGCAAAATCCAGAAGCGCAGTTCCACCCCCATTTCTCTCCCCAAAACCAAAGCCTCCATGAACATCATCAAAGCCATTAGTTGAAACTACTAACAGTGAAGTATAATTTCTTTTGACTGTTAGATAGGAACAAAATCCATAAATCAAAACAATGTCACCACTTGAATGAAGCAAATGATAAGCTATAACCTTAACAATGTCAGTCAATAGATAGATAAAAAGAAAGGGCTTGCGATTATCATGGAGTCTAACAAATAATGATGCCTTACTAGGGGAAAAAAAGGAGCTTAAATAATACCAAAAAATAGCAGTCAATTTAGTGCCTCTCTGGGTTTATGCACAAAACCATGTTTTTCTATATCATTGGATAATATAAATACATTATTTTATGCAAGTCATGAAAATGATTTTTTAAAGAGTCAACAACTTGATTTTCATCGTTAACTAGAAGAACTTCCTCAGCATATGGAACATGAGGAAAAGGAAAGACACGAAAGAAATAAGAAGATAAGGATCTCTAACCCTTTCATGATCCCAGATGTTCAGGATACCATCTTCTGCTGAACTTCCAAAGACTGATGATTTATCTGGGGACCACTGAAACAGAATTTTTTATCAAACACCAGTGCAGGTCTCATGCAAATAGGTAACCCTTATCAATGTAAAGAAGGGTGGACAGCAAAAGAAAGCACATATGTCAGTAGCTCTCAAACCTGTACACAAAGCACAGCAGCAGCATGGCCCTCAAAGATATGTATAGGCGATCCCACTCCCCCAGAAGTGAGGTTTCGTCGATCAAACATGCGAACGGTGTTGTCTGCCGACCTGAAGGAGGCGTAGCTATAATTTAAGGCTTCCACAAAAATTGAAAAGCATCCGTGGAATCATGGAACCAGGTATTCACATTAAGGGAGGAAAAAAAAAAGATACACACTGCATAAATATTACAGAAAGCTTAATGCACTGTCCAAGGATCAACCTACTTATCTTTATTGAGTTCAATAGGACAAACAGTTACAATCATTACCCGGTCAATATATAATTTACATCATGAGGATTCCAATCAACACAATGAAGATCAGCATTATGAGCCTTTTCTACCTGCAGGAAAAATGATCAGATCGCAAAGTCCAATTAGAGACATGATTATGACCAAAAGATACAGCAAATAATTTAGTAGCAACCGCAGAAATAAAAATGATAAGAAAGTAGACAATTCAAGGAATGCAAAGCAAATAGATGCATAATTTAATGGAAAGACATCATAAGTGGAAGAGTCGAGAACTGTATGGTTTACATCTACTTTGAGGGGCTTTAATGAAAAGTCTTTGCAATACAACATTTTCTCTAATCTATTCTCTGAAAAGGTTAAACACTAATGTATAGACCAACATGTTCTCCTATCAATTACTGAACTCCTATTTACAATTCTTCCCTAATTAAATGTGTCAAGTCAAACTACCAATTAAATTGGGATGTATGGAGTAGAATCCAAAAGCCAACAAGTGCCTAGCATTGGCATTATATGGTTTTTTCTGAAAGGGCACAAAAAGTAAATCTAAGAATTATCACCAGCCCTCATAATTAACAATTATCCATCACCATTTTTCCTAAATCCTGCTGCTATTAACTACCACATATCGCCAAGATTTACTATACTCCATCTTAAATTAACTCAAGAAGCTACTTGGAAAAGCACCTACTAAGGTGAAATGCTTCTCCTGGATGGTAGTAGGGAAGGCATGTCTCGCCCATGAAGCATTACAGAAAAGGAAATTTCACTTAGCTTGCATATGCCCTCTTTGTATGGAAGCTAATGAAACAAACAGTAGCCTCTTCCTCCACTGCATGGTAACTTCCTAAGTCTGGTCCCTATTCATTACCTTGGCTGGGGAAAGCTGGACAATGCCAGAGCTCACTGTTGATCTATTGAGCTGCTGGATCAGAAGGGGAGTGAGCAAAAGCCAGAAGAGATGGTGGAAAACTGTCCCAGCTTGCATATGGTGGACCATATGGAAGGAGAGAATGAGAGAATTTTCAAAGGAAGCTCAAACTCCCTTGAAAAGATCAAAGGGAAATGCATTTCTACTTTATGTTTTTGATGTAAAGAGCAATGTATAGTAGATGAAATACAGAGAGTTGATTTCCTAGGCTATTTGTAATTAGCCATCTATGTAAGCACACTTTTGAAAGTGGACAGCATATCCAATGCTGAAGAAGAATACATGCTACCGGCTTCAAAAAAATAGCAAACCTATAAGATTATCATATTGTTTGAATACTTATTAATTTATCAAATGCTGTGAATTAATGGTTAAGGTACGAAAACTGGGTTCGCCTGGCCGGTGGTGTGTGTTGGGTTGCCAATCACATCTAGGGGGCATTTTGGGACACGACACTTATCTATCTGATATCACAAACTACAGTTTAAGAACAGGCAATATGACAGAAATGCCTCCTGACCTCTACACACACGCACACAGAGGCCACATATCTATAGTAAGATTTCACTAAAAATCAGGGAAAGTCATTTTTATACAAGCACAGATCAAGAGAAGCTCTCTGCTTATCCACAGAAAAAGGGTAGAAAACAAGTTACTAAGTGCTTCAGTAAAAGAAATGAATACAACCTTGACAGCAGGAGAAGAACCAGCTCTTGCATCCCAGAGTATAAGGCAGGAATCATCTCCAACACTGCAAAACTCCTGCGCACTTTATCCAAAAAGAGGAATCCTGTAAGGATGTATTAATCCAGGATAAGCAATGAACAAATTGCTTTTTTTTCTGTTGTTTTCTTCATTTTTCTCTCTTCTATGACATGCGACACAACAGCTCATACGTGTATTAGCTCAGCTTCAATCAAGCTCACATTACACGAAGGTTTTGGCAGTGTTAACCCCAAACAACCAAGTATCACAACTCCTAACAAAAAAACTGAAGGACTAACTCAATATCTTATACAATGTGGGAGATGCGATAGCTACCTGGAAGGGCAAAACTGAACATCTTCTACAGTATCATCGTGTCCTTGGAAAATACCTCGAGCTTGAACAGTAGGGCCTTCTGCAGAAGGTTTCGAGTTACCTGCTCCAGATCCAGGAGACTTTGTTTCTCCCTGGTCTGCTGCTGCCAAAGTAGACACATGATCATGAATGCTCCACAGAACAACCGATTTGTCCTTCCCTGCAACAATTAATCCATGAGTGCATTAGCTTTATTTTACACAAGCTTGGAAAAGTTTAACGTATCTGAGGTAAGAACTAAAGGAGATAATAATAATTGACTGCAGGCATTAACAATAGTAAGAGGCTAAACTCTGATGTGTTCCAAAAGTTTCCCTAGGTTAACAATAGATACCCATTTAAGGAAGAGATTATAGTCCCTCCAACACAGTTCATGCAACACACTTCTAGAAAGAAAATATACCATAGAACTCTTAACTCTTAGGGGTCGTTTGGTAGAGTGTATAAGAATAATGCTAAATAAAGTGTATTAGTAATGCTTGCATTAGCAATGCATGTATTAATTATGCTCGCATTAATTATACATAGATTATTTTTATGCATTGTTTGGTTTGATGCATTAAAAAAATTATTTACAAAGATACCCTTCACTATTAAAAAAGGTATTGAGGGACAATTGGGTCTTTAATTGAGTTAATGCATGCATTAAAACCATTGCATTGCTAATACCTAGAAATCCATGGTATTAGCAATACACACTTTAATACACAATAGAGTGTATAACTAATGCAAGCATTAGTTATACATAGGTTGGAAAAGAGTACCAAACAAGGTACTAGTAATACACAAGGCTAATGCATGCATAATACACTCTACCAAACGACCCCTTACAGAAACTACAAATTCATTTAATAAATTCAACTAACCATAGCATGGTGTTCTTCATCAAACCCTGATATGATTTTGTGCCAACTAGGTTGTGGCATATGTTGTTACTTTCTAAAACGATTATGGGGTTGAAAGTATTCATTATACTGGTCTCATTTTACCAGATAGAAGCAATACAACACTAAATCCACACGGGAGTCAAAAAGAAGGAATTGTTTTGAAACAAAATATGGGTTTACCCGGGTAGCAGAAAATTGTTATCCATGGAATAAGCTGTAAAACCATACTCCACCACCCCCCACCAATGATCAGAACGTGTCACTAAGGGTAAAAGCTAAAAAGAAATACTCCTACCGTTTCAATTTTTTTGCCTAGTTTTACTTAGTACGGAGTTAAAGAAAATAAAGAAGACTTCTAAATCTTATCGTTGTTAAGTAAATATATATAGAATGTACAAAAATGTTCTTTAATCTTGTGATCTTAAATATGTCACGTAGAAAGTTAGAATTAAAGAGTTGCCAAAATCAGGAAGAGGCATTCTTTTTGAAGCAGACTATAAAAGGAAAGTAGGACAAACAAATTGAAACAAGCGGGGGGTAGAATTTTTTTAAAGATTGCATTTTATCGGTTAATAGACGTGCAGTAAACAATGAGCTGCTTAATTGAATAAAAGTAATCACAAAATCCTAAAAAGAAAATATCATGCAAAGACTGGTCGGTCAACCTCCAGAGAGCACAAAAGGCTCAGAAGGGCACATTGCGAGCGCAAATTCAGCATTGTCTTGATGTCCAGTCAAGATCTGCAAGTAAATATAGACTCTCAGTCACTACTTATAAGAATACAAAGTTGGCAAACTGAACATGTTGTTTAGAAACCCACCAAGTCTGGTCGAGAATTATTTACTCCCAAGGTAGCATGGCGATTAGGCTGAGACTCAACATCCCAAATAAGAACCTGATTCCAAAATTTTCCAAGGTCACCTTAAAGATTTCAGTGGAAACTAAATATTGATATGGACACCAATGAAACAGCAGCCACAAGGGAGGAGACAATTGTGTATGATAGGGCTACAAAAGGAAATTGAAATATTCAGAAGCAGATGCTTACATCAGGACTGTCAGTGTGTGTGGCCACTATTTTGCTATCCTGAGGCAGTTCCCTAATTCGATTCACCTGAAATCATATTATAGAAATTATTGTCTTTCAAATACATATTACATGTTATGAGTGCTTCTGTAATTGATTTTTTTTAAGCAACGCGGGTCGGTCCAGCAATTCCCATTCTTATAGTGAGAATAAGGAGAACAATTAGTATAATTGAAAGGATTCAGCAAGATTCAATGAATAAATTCATCTTCACATGAGAAAGTATAACTGACATCAAAAAGAATCATGACAAAAAAAACAGCTGCACAATTATATTGGAAACCGTCTGTGGAAAATTATTTTCCCACTAAATGAGGGAAAAAAGGTACTGGCAAAAGTTCAATTAATCTAACCAGAAATTGGGGCCTATAAGCACTAATACTCCCTATGAATCTCTTCCAAGTCTAAATCCAAATTTATGACCCCAAATTATCTCAGTGTTGGGAAATGACACCTGGTTTGGCTTTATAATAAGATGGTTCCCGCATGTATCTGGTGGACCATATGGAAGGAGAGAAATCAGAGACATTTTGAAGGCAAAAAGAGCAACATACAGAAGATTAAGACAGACTGCTTAGGTCTTTACTATTTTTGGTGTAAACAAGTAGCTATAAACAACATTGGAAATGTTTTTAATGCAATCGACTGGTTGTAATTAGAATTATTAGGATTTTGTAAAGAGAATTATGTGATGGGGGACTACACTTTGTTGTAGTACACTTGTGGATATATAGAAGTAAAGTTTACCATTCTCAAAAAAAAAACATATCGCTATTTCATTTGGCTTTATGCAATAAGTTTCTCAATTTTTGCTCCAAAGATAATTATGCAAGTGTGAGTAATTCACAGTTCCACAACATTTAACATATTAAGCCATTATGAAGTCTAAAACAAGAATTTAACTATGAAACCATGTGAGAATTTCAACATAAGCACCTAATGGCAACCACCCTCTATTACAACACTACACTATAGCAGGCTAGTTCTCTTTGAATCTGAATTTTTAGGGAAAAGGGTATATACCTTTAAAATATACTATTAAATAGTGCGGGGGTAAAAGGTCCTTTCCAAAGTTCGATATTGTTACAGCGATTTCGGTCAAAGTTAGGATATATTTCAGACCTTTTTCCCAAATTTTTATGTTATATTTTACCTCTATAACAGTTTTTTACGTAAAACAATAACATCCATCATTATAATGGTACACCCTTTGAAAAATTACCTATATAACATCCTTACTCCCATATCCATATATTATATTTTATCATTGTATAGTAACAAAAAATATCTATTAATTACATCTTAGTTTACTGGAGACGTAACTTTAATTAATTCTGTAAGTCCCAACAAGAAATCTGGAATGTCAAAAGCTCTTGTGGACTTGAATATCTTCTGAGATTTTAAATTTAAATGATTTTTCTTATGTTTTATAACAGACAAACTTTGAGAAGAATGAGTTCTGAGTATTTTTTGTCTATACTAGCCAAATAAGATGTAAATGTAATGACACTATAGGTGTATAAACAGTCAAGCACTATGATAGGCAAAAATAGTCCGGACAAATGAGGCTACTACAAGAGGGTTTGACTCTTAGTTTAATTGAAAAAACAAAATGCATTAAACGCTCCACTGCATTAGTGATGAAACAAGCTACCAGGGGAAAATAACCATTCAGGAAATTCTACTAACTGAGCACTAATTGCCTGTATTCTAAAGTAATACAAAATCTTAACAATATGATCAAATTATTAGATAAACCAAAAAGAGAAGAATTCATGTTTGGATCCTATAGTAAGATGGGCAAAGAAAGATGTACCTCACCAGGATGAATAATAGTTTTAAACTTCTTTACAAAAGGCGAACGTGCTTCTTCGTTGAACTGAAAAATAGGCAATCAATATCATAAAAAGTGAATAAGTGGAAAGAACAACAGGAAGAAATAGGAAAAAGCTTGCATCTATGCACAGGAGAACACCTGAGATATGTGTTGTGCTGCTGCAACCCTAGGTTTTACAACCTCACAATTAGCTATGACAAGGGTATTTGGAACGCTACCATCAGTCTGCAGGGAGGAGAAAAAGGGGATTATGATGAAAGTTGAGATGGCCTTCGCAGTGATTTAAGAGAAAAATGAGATGACGAAGGATGTGATGATAATAACTACCACACAGACTATGGATTTGAAAGCAAAAACTGAACAAACAAATACTCTTGATACTTCCAAGCTCTTTACTAGCAACCTTATAAAACTATTATCAAGGCCAATCTAACGTGTTTACCATCACGAAAAAATAACATATAAATGTCAAATAGAAACTTCCCTGTTTGATTTACATTTTTCAAGCATTCACTACGTCTTGATTTCCAGATCCTGTTCATATTTAGGCTGAGTTTTCATCAAATCCTTGGCATAAAGAAGACTAATACATCCTTCTCTCCAATGTTCCATGAATCACCATCAACATGGAAAAATTCACTCATGGTAGTGCAACATATTTTGACGAGGTACCAATTTTTTGCTATGGAAAGATCATTATGCACTTCAAGTCCATACCCGAAGAAAGAAGTATATATGTGCATAGTGGATACAAACTGAAAGCTACCCTAGATTAAAGAATATGAAATGATCATCTTGCCTGCTCGGAAAGGTAGAGGCGCTGGCGGTTTTTGTAAGTTGCTTGCTCAAACTGGGGGCCCCATCTGAAAGAGAAAATCAGTAATTTCATTTATTAGCATCCATAGATAAACAAGCAAAGAAGCAATACTGTCACATGAAGAGGCTGAAGGTACAGTAAAACAAATAAATCTCTAAATAGACCAAAACAGAGATATAAATAAAGAGAGAAATATAAAAGTATAAACCAATGGCCAAAGAATCTGCAATCAAATACGGCAGAAAACCTGCATCCCAACAATAGATGAACCAATATTCTGCCAGTACACTTCACTGTCAAACTTATGACATCATTGTAGGCTGAGTTTGATTAAATTTGATACATCACTTAACAAACAGCGTGAAAATACTGGAACCTTCGCTGGCATCTACCCACATCCTCTCCTGTCCTCACACAAAACAGATGTAGAGAAGACTACTTAAATAAGTAAGTAAAATCCAAGGGTATCATTTGTAGACCCTTAATTATGAATTTCACATGGATGTCTAGGTTGACAGAAAATCTATAAACACCAGTTTCTCAAGAAGTAGCTTCACAAAGCACTACAGCCCCCATGCACTCACACAGACCGGTCGATATATCCCCTGTAGATTATCCTTAACTCTATTAATCCCCCTAATCTTGAGATATCCCTTTGGAAAAAGAACAAACAGATATTACTTCTATATCAATTTGTTTGCTTACTTTACTTTTTAGTTTTCAAAAAAGAATGTATGTTTCTTTTATTGACAAATCTTTAGTTTTAGTTTTACACATGTCATGTTTAAGACGACAAGATAGGATATTTTGGTACATATATTTAGTTTAAGGACCACAAGATTCAACATTATTCTTTAACTAGTAAAATTACCTGCGCTTCGCTCGGGAATTTAATATCACGGAATTTATAGAATAATACTTAAAACCTATAAGTCATTAAAACTAAAACACTATATTATCTTACATACAAGATTACGTAATAACAAACATTAATAATATAAAGGAAAATAAAAATTATTACATCTTATCATTTAGCCTTAATAACATAAGCATAAATTAATGACTGTAAAAATACATACCAAGATCTGTAACATAATCAATGGTGTCAGTGAGTCACTCAACAAAAGCAAAGTACACAAATATTTAATTGTGAAGAAGAAGAGGAAGTTCAGAATTTTTGTTGTTTTAAAATGAGAGGAAATCCCTCTATTTATAGACAAAAAAGGATAGTGTGAACAAATGTTTATTGTGCCTTCTCGGAAAGGTTACAACTATTTGAAAAAGTTGCAACCCTTCGGAAAGGTCACAACCTTTCATAAAAGTCACAACTTTTCATAAAAGTCGCAATTCTTCATTAAAGTCGCAACTTTTCATAAAAGTCACAACTTTTCATATAAGCCGCAACTTTTCATATAAGCCGCAACTTTTCATATAAGCCGCAACTTTTCATAAAAGCCGCAACTTTTCATAAAATTTGCAACTTTTCATGAAAAGAGAATGCTAGTTTTGGAAATAAATAAATTAAAAGGAAATTTTAGTTTGTGGTGGCGCCACGTAAGCGGGCCTAAGGTTCTCTTTTATATATATATATATATATATATGATATATGATATGATATATGATTTCTTGAACTCATGTCAAGTCAAAACCAACAAACAATTTGAAACAAGATTCAAAAAGTATTCTTTAATTTCTTGAACTCGTGTCGAGTCAAAACCAACAAACAAATTGAAACAAGATTCAACAGTATTCTTTAACTTCTTGAACTCATGTCAAGACAAAACCAACAAACAAATAGAAACAAGATTCAAAAAGTATTCTTTAATTTCTTGAACTCATGCCAAGTCGAAACAAGACAAAGAAACTGAAACAAGATTTAACAGTATTCTTTAATTTCTTGAACTCATGCCAAGTCGAAACAAGACAAAGAAACTGAAACAAGATTTAACAATATTCTTTAATTTCTTGAACTCCGTGTCAAATTAAAATTAAAACAACACAGGTATGAACAAATGCGCCAAACTAACAATGAGCAGTTTAACACTCTACATTAGGAAGGAAGTGCTGGTTAACAAAACCCTAGATAGATAGAGGAATGGGGATGTGAGTGTACTCACCAACAAGATTCCACAGTATTCTTTAATTTCTTGAACTCATGTCAAGTCAAAACCAACAAACAAACAAACCAAAACAAAATTCAAAAAGTATTATTTAATTTATTGAACTCCGTGTCAAATCAAAATTAAGACACAGAGGTATGAACAAATGCACCAAACTAACAATGAGCAGTTCAAAACCCTAGAGAGATAGAAGAATGTGATATATATAGGTACTGACCGACAAGAGAGTGAAGGCCAGAGGAGATTGTGGTTCGCAAGCCAATCGTAGAGAACAGGAACCAGAGACTTCCATTGTGTGTACCGTTCGTCGACCGTCGGCGGCTGTTGTCCGGGTTTCTCCGTTTTGTCCTTCATTCTCTCTTCTTCCTCACGTTTTCCCGCCTCTTTGCTCTGCTCTTAATTTAGTACAACACAACAAACAGTCTTTGTACCTTTTAGATTCCCACTAATATATACTTCTCTAATTTATAGGGGGGGGAAATACTCCTATTGTACTTTAGGTTTTTCTGTTCCTCATCAGATTGGGGTTTTCTCCTTGCTATATTTTAGATAGGTTTAGACAAATATTTTTGAAGAAAAAAAATTGGATTGAAGTTCTTAGAAGTTTTACTTTATTAAAAAATGAAAAAGATTTTAAAATGTCATGAAAAAATAAGCAAACATATACTAGTTAACTAGGTAACATAGTTATAGTTTGAATTAATTACGGCTCGCAACTTAATTTTAGTTGTAATTACGTCGCCTCTCTCCTCTTTTATACATATACAAATACAAATTATACATACACAATATATGATAGTTATACATATACAGTTAGTCTTTCTCCCTCTCTCCTCCCTCTCCCAATCTCGTTCGTCAGATATACAAATACATATGTATACTAATAACATATATACAATTATCTGACAGATTTACATATACAGTTCACCTTTCTCCACTCTTTGCCATCGCTCGTCTCTCTCCTCCCTCTCGCAATCTCGCTCACCAGATATACAAATATATTTGTATACCAATTATATATATATAATTATTTGACAGATATACATATACAATTCGACAGATATACATGTACAATTCGAATCTCGCCACTCTCGACCCTCTCTCACTCGCCTCTCTCCTCCCTCTAACATGCAACTACGAATCGTAACTAGCAAATTATAGCTATTGAGCTTGAATAAGTTGTTTTTAATGACTATATGCAAAAATTCCTCATTAAATTATGTGAAATTGGAAAAATATGTCTTCGATTAATAGTTTATAACCTATTAATGTCTCTGTCGTGGTTCAAAAATATCCTTGTTGTTCCTAAATGTATCAAAAAGATATTCGTTTTATATATAAGTATATATATTTTTTTTTAAACATTTCTTTTCTTAATAGTATAGTAATTATTTTTCTAGGAGAAAATAGCCAAAAGCCTCCCTAATCTATTACCTAATTTTCAACTACACACTTATACTTTACGGGATCCTATTACCCCCTGAACATTTTAAAAGTATAATATATACCCCCCTTAAAAATTCACACCCAAATTTGTATAAAAAATTAAGTGGCATGCGCTTGCCACATAATTTACCTTTTAAAAATAAAATAAATAAAATAAATTCAAACTAGCAAAGCAAGCTCAAATTTAAAAACCCTTGAGTGAATTTTTCTTCATAACCTTATGTACATCAACTGAAAATTCATCATGATTTTTGTTCAATAAAATAAAAGAATTTAAAAAGGTCGATTATGGTAAAAAGATTTACCATTTAATGTTGTTTGGTGGGATACGCAATGAATGGGCTGCATTGAAGCTTAGTGATGAACACAAAAGAGTGATAATTTTCAATATTTGGAGACTTCATATTTGATGGGTTTTGGATTTTGGTTGAAATTATTGAGAGCTTAGCAATTTTAAAGATGAACGCGGTGGTTCACGGCGGAGGTAGATGGCGATTGACGGCGCGATAATATGTACGGTGGTTGGATCAGGATAACATAACTAAGGAAACTTATAAATTTCACTCAAGGGTTCCTAAAGTTCTCCATTAATGACACTAAAATTTGATCCTCTTGACTTTCGATTTTAAGCTATTGTCAAATTTTCAAATGGATCTACCGTGAAAAAAATGTGATTTGAGGATGAAAATCCGCTTAATGGTGGGAGGCTAACGAAGGACTTGGTGGTGGAGCTGAGTTTCCGCCGGTGCTGCTATGGTGAAGAGAAAAAAAAGAAGGTAAAAAGAAAAAATAAACTGAAACTGAAAGGAAACTTAATTTTTTAAAAAAAAAAAAAAACTGAAAACCAATATAAACTAAAAATAATCTAAAAATTAAAGTTTTAATTACTATTATTTTTGCTTCTCACTCTGTCAAAGAGAGTGAACTACACTTTCTTTGTCATCTCAGCATTCAGGGAGCAAATAATTTCACTTTTAAATAGTTTAAGGGGATAGTAAGACTCACGTAAAGTATAAGTGTGTAGTTGAGAATTAGATAATAGATTAAGGGGTCTTTTGGCTATTTTCTCTTTTTTACTAGCAAATATTTGTCTTTCTTCAATTTGAAAAAGATTAAGTGATAGAAATATCCCACTTATTTATTAGCTAGATTTATTTTAAATGAAAAGAAACAAAAATATGGTCCTATATAAATGTAGATTTTTTTAAAAAAATGTACTATTTTTTTAATGAGTTAAATGTTATTAAAAGGTAAAGAAATAATTTATTTATTAGAAAAATGATATATTTGATCCACTAAGTAACAACCGGAGCATTTAATACCAAACTATTAAGGGGTGAAATTTTTGTCCAATTTTATAAAATCGAAGTGGATTTTTTTATTTATTTTTTATATATCTTTTAAATAAACATGAAGTGTGATTTATCTTCATAAGTTTTGAAAACTATCAAACTTACTCAAACGTTCCAAACAAGCATACTTGTTAATCCCAAAATTATATAGAACTTTTATTGATGACGTTCATAACATAAATCATAATCTTGTATATAGTTAAGTTTAGTATAAAATTACCATTTCTATAGTGAATTAAATAATACATTATCCTAAAATTATAACATGATATTTTATAAAGAGTGTTAATAACACAATTACACACCACTACAATTTGTCAAATTACTATAAGTTAAGAAGATCCATTGTTGAGATGAGATACATTACAATGATATGAGATGAGATGCCTCATATATCAGCAAGAAGTTACAAATTCAAAGAAAAATATACAAGCAAATATTATTCAATTAGTGTTCGAGACGTTTTATCATTATTATAAAATTTATATATATTAAAAAGGTTGAGTTATAAATTATAAAATATTGAAATTAACAATATTGATTTTGATGTTTATATTTTGTTTATTAAAGAAAATTCATAAAAGTGAAACTATGCGTTTGCCATCAAATTAGAAATATGTAAATTTAATTGAGATGATGTAATCTCTAAGATAATAAAATATTGATGAATTTTGATCTTGTAATTTTATTGATCTCGATCAAAAAATGAAAACCATTCCATTGACTAGCATGTAAAAAATAAGAATTATAATAATTAAAATTTTATGATCTGCATAATATATGATCCGCGTTATGCCCTGTGAATTTTTTTGGATACATACTATTTTTGTTAGGCAACATTTTCCCTTTCAATATGAGACTCGGTAATACAAATTCAAAATTAGTCAAGCTTTAATGAATGTAATGAATATCGAATGAGAAACTAAAGAAAAAATATCAATTGACATTACTTTTTGATTTTGACCATATGTACTAAGAGGCTAATAACCTACAAGGGCGTCAAGATGACAGAACATAGATCTCTTGATTTTTTTGGTCGAACTCATTACACGCGATTTATCTAATGCAATTTACTTTTTATACGATGATTTATAAATTATTCCAAAAGGTTTAGGGAATGTTTGGTGTTAACTTTATAAAAGTCTGATTCTATATATTACGGGCCACACGCGCCGCTGGACGGCGTTTCTCTTTTTGTAAAATAAAACACTTAAATGGACGGTTGGTTGGTGGACCGCATGTCGGTCATTTTATTAGACTTCGTCATGCTAATTTCCTTTATTCTCTTTTTAATTAGTATAATAACTAATTTCTATTTTTTTTCAAAATCGAATTATTATTACTTATTTCTCAGATTAGGAAATAATTTTTTTTTTAATTTAAAAATTATTATTTTTTATAATAAAAATAATATTACATTCATATCACTCTGTTCAAATTCAGCGGTGAAATTTTGTAATGGTTGGTGGGTTAATAAAGTAGGACTCGGTAATTAGTAGGATGCAGTAAAAACTTTTACCATTTCATTACTTTTTCAGCTTTCCCAATAAGTTAAATGATGAACAAATTCAATCCTCATGATTGACATTAAAAAAACCAAAATATACTTTATATTATTTTTCATAAGAAAAAGAAAACAATGGCTTGTGTGTGCTATAATTTTGTTTTATAATTAATAATGAAGAAAACATTGCACTATAATTTGCATTAACATTTTTTTTAAAGTCAACGAGGAATAGAAATAAAATTTGAGAGAAGAAATCAAACCTTTGAATAAAGATAGATAAATTATTTTATCAACACGTAAATGTATAATTACTTAAAAATTTTAAATCTACTCGTATTTTGTGTTTAAGTTTTCCCAAACATTATCATTAAGGGGTTTAAACAATTACAAATAAGAATATACTCAATCAGTTCACTTTTACTTGTCACAGTTTGACTTGACACACTCATTAAAAAATAATGAATGATATATGTATTTTACCAAATTATCCTCTATTGAATGATGTCATAGACGAGATTTGAAAAATAAGTAATTAATGTTGAAGGTAAAACATAAAAAAAAATTATTATCTTTTCTCGATATATCAAAAGTGACAAGTAAAAATGAGAATTTATTTTAGAAAAATAAAAATAAACGGAGGGATTGATATCTAATTATGATTTTTTGTTTTCAACCGTAATGGTTGCATATTAATTACTTAATATGTAACATATTAAATTTGAATTTATACCCTTATCATTTTAACATTTTCATCATTAGATACATATATAATTAATTAAGAGAAACTATTGTGATAATTTAACTTTTTTTTTAAATCTTATTCACAACATATTTTTAGTATTAATAAATAAAATTTATCATTACTATTATTATAGAGAGTTTTATACTAGTAGAAAAACTATTTTTGAATGACTCTAACGCAAATAAAATTTATCCAATGCCCTTTAAATTCTTTATCCCTTTAATGATGTCAAACTAAACCAAAAAAAAAATAGAGAAGGAAATTACTCATGTTCTTGTCTACTTAGAATTTTCAAACCTAAAAAAACACCATTTGATTTCTTCACTTCTCTGTGAAAATTGATTTTTTTTACCAAAGTGTTAGTGCAAAATTCTTGTTTTGTTCCTTTTGTTTTGCCTTTATATTTCAGCTGTGTCC